TATATATATATATATATATATATATATCAAATATATTTATCAAAGATATAAAGAAATAAGAATATTAGATATTTTGTTAAAATGGAGAAAAGAGAAAAAAATTAAAAAAAAAAAAGAAAAAGAAGAAGAAGAAAAAGAAGAAGAGAAAAAAGAAAACAAATTAAAATATCACATTTAAATTTAATTAACACGCGATTAAATTCAATCTTATTTTCAGATTAGCTGTTCAATCCCATTATCGCGAATATATATTTTGCAAGTGAATGATATTGGATTATTAATCTTACTATGATTTAAAAGCAACCAACCAACCAATCAACCAACCAACCAATCAACCAACCAAGCAAGAAAAAGAAGAAAGAAAAATAAGATACTTAACGAGATGTATTAAAAAAGTGATTAACAAAAAGAAATATAATAAGAAAAATAAGATCTTCAAAAGTAAAAAAAGAGAGAAATGGGATAAACAAAATGATAGAAAAAGAAGGAAAAAGAATGAAAGAGAATGAGAGAGAGAGAGAGAGAGATAGAGAGCAAGAGAGGATTGGTAGTGGCGCGTGATTCGATTTTAACGAGATGTAATTAAAAAAGTGATTAACAAAAAGAAATATAATAAGAAAAGTAAGATCTTCAAAAGTAAAAAAAGAGAGAAATGGGAAAAACAAAATGATAGAAAAAGAAGGAAAAAGAATGAAAGAGAGAGAGAGAGAGAGAGCAAGAGAGGATTGGTAGTGGCGCGTGGTTCGATTTGTTGGCCTAAATGAGTCACGTAGAATGCAACAAGACTGGAATAAGATCTTTACAGAGCGAAATACAGTGTCAGAACCGTCGTCTTGTTCAACGGTAGTCTTGGCATCCGGGAACTTGAGTTGGACAGCTCTTTCCTTCTCTCTGTTTCTCTTTCTTTCTCTCTCTCTCTCTCTCTCTCTCTCTCTCTCTTTCTTTCTTTCTTTCTTTCTACGATCAGATATGTCGAGTGAAAAGTAAATATATTTAGTGAGAAGGATTTCTCACTAGATTTAACAAACCCCGATTCATTTAAACAATCTTTTTCTCTCTTTCTCTTTTTCTTTTTTTTTTCTTTTTTTTAAACTGTACGATGAAGATTTCTTTTTGCAAAATGAAACTTACTTAATTATCTTATCGTTGAATACTTCCTTTGAGAGAAGTTGTAACATGTATCAATGATAAAAAATACTTCAACTTCTTCAACTTCTTCTTCTTCTTCTTCTTCTTCTTCTTCTTCTTTATGTTCTTTTATGTATGTATGAAATTTGTACATTTAAAATCTGTTCAAATAATATATGTTAAGATAAGAGTAGTAGTAATAGTAGTAGTAGTAATAATAATAATAATAGTAATAATAATAATATATTTATATGATTTGTTTAAGAATATTAGAATTATAAATATAAGATTGATCTTTTATAATCATTATATATAAATAAGTATCTTTTTCGATGAGTTTATAAATAATATATTTTTAAAAATCTGTTCAAACATTTCTTTTATTTTTTTTTTTTTTTTATAAAGATAAGAAATAGATTAGAAATAAATTTGTAATTTTATTAAAAAAAAAAAAAAAAGGAAAATAATTAAGATTGATATTTGTGTAGATGAAATTCTTTTCATTGGATGAGTTTATAATATTATTATCTTGCTTGCAAATTTTTACATCATGATGATAATTTCAATATTATTTCATAGAAGTAACATTGATGATTATATATATATATATATATATATATATATATATATTTCTAATTTATTTTTAA